AAAAAACTTCACTTATTGTAAGAATCTTTATTATATTTATCTTATTTTATCAAACTTCTTCAACATGCTAAACTTTAGTTTCTTTTTACTTCTTATAACATGACTTTTAGGATTCACTTATTAAGTTTATTTACTTCTACTTTCTTCTTTAAATTACATAATGCTTTGGCATAAATATTTAACTTTATTTTTTACTTCTTTCATAGGCTTAGAAATAACAATTGAGATTGTTAATCCATGAGATTCTAAAGCTATTTTCACATTCACCAAATCTAGCATTTATAAGTTTTTTATTTTTTTATCTTAAAAATATGCAATAATAACAAATTTATAAGTCAAATAAAATGATGATAATCCACAATTTCTAATATGAAATGAATTTATTTTATAAAGAGAGATAATGTAATATTTTTATTAAAAAAAAATAAGGTTATTAAATAAAAATGTTGGTTTAAAAGTATGTAATTTGTAACTTTTGAAACACAACAATAATTCTTAAGATGTAAATTAGTCCACTTATTTCCTAAATAAAATATTATAATAACTTAATAGTCTTGTCAAATTGTCATAACATGAAACTTGACAAAACTTAAAAGATAATATATTTATATGTCACTAAAAAAAAGTAAAAGTAAAAAAAGTAAATGTAGAAGAAAATAATACGGATTGTTGCAACATACAAGGAGCTATATAGTTTTCAACTAAAAATAAAAATATGAAAAAGATGTTCATAAGAATAACCTAAGTCTTACCTTCATATATACTAACTATAAAGAAGATATAGTAGAAGCTTTTTAGGGACCACAAGGCTTGTGGTTCAAGTGTCTAGTTATAGATTGCTACTAACATAACTTCTTAAATGCAAGAAATACATGGCATAAGTTTGAACACCCATATGGTATATCTATAAAAGTCTAAATATCTATGTTGTATCTAAAAAACTTTCTTAAAGCTTTTTAAAAGAGATATTATCTTTCCAACATACTTGTACTTATTTGTACTTACTTCCAAATACTCCTATTTAACTTAATAAGATTGAATATGCCTTATACATATAATTTGGTCTAAACTTACAAATTGGTTTTTTGATGAAATAAAGCCTTTTTTAAGAAATATTTAACACCTCCTATTACTTGATATCACAACAATCTCCCTCAATTTAGTATACATAGTTTTTCTATGGCCACCTTCTCTAATACAATCATTCTAATTCCCTATTTAAGTGCTCTAAATGAAACATCTAATATAACTATATGAAAACAATGCAATGTCAAAAAACTTAAAGACACATTTGAATCTTTAATTAAATATGTTCAAAAGGACATCCTCTTTCTACTTCAAAAGTAAAAGAATAACATATATATATATATATATATATAAGTATTTATTGTCTATAAAATAGTTGTGTTATGTAATTCCAACTAAATGATTCAAGTAAAATAGTTCCCATGATCTAGATAAATTTTTGAATATCCAAACATTCCATGTCATACATGCAATATTATGCAATTCATCACATCAAATCATGGAGATTCAAATTTCAATTAGTTCTCCACTTGCAAGCAAGAACTAAATTAAGTTACTTTGTCACAAGCAGCTACAATCAAATAAGGTTTGAACTGAAAGTGGGGCCAGAGAGAATCATACTCGAGGCCGTTAACCTGAAAATTTGACGATACTGCAATTTATAAAAACATTTATGTTGACGATAACGAAGTACATAATAAAGCAAATGAAAGGAAAATTGATAATAAGTCCAAAAAACGACTAAAACTAGCAGGAATGCAATTCAAACCATCCCCCATAACAAAAAGCTCCAAATCCAACCCCTTGCTACACAGAACAGTACTTTCACCTCCAAACACCGCAACCAAAACTCTCGTTGAAACACAATCCCCACCCCACTAGATGCGCATACCACGGCAACAACAGGCGAACAGCAGCCAACCAATATCACACAACGACAAATCTCATCACCGGAATACACCCATGTATACATAAATATATAAATAAATAAATATATATATATATATATATATATATTCGGCGCGACTGTGTCGTCCGCCAACATCACGCTGTAAACCACAAGCTCCGATCAAGGATCCTTCACCCCAGCAAAATACAGGCGACTCATGCACACATCACTACGTGCAATTTGTTTTTATCACACACATACATCATTTACTGCGACCATATATAATATCTACCAGGCCAAAAATCACTGCCAAAAACCAATGCAAAAAACCAGTGCCAAAAATCACCAACACACGACTCCTGAAGGCAGGTACCACGTACAGAAAAACTTCCAGGCACGACTGTGTCACTTGTCTCAAAGCAACCATGGACCATATTCCCATCATTTCCTTCTACTACCATCCTCTCTAGCCTCATACTCATCAGAACGCTACTAATTAATGCTACACTTCTGTAACACCCATGACAGTAATGCGCATTGCGACTCAGCTTCAAGCGATAGTTCACGTGCATGAATACAGTATTGTAACAGAATCGTTGTTCTTACAATTCCAGGTTCAAATTATTAGAGCCCAAGGGTTCTTTAACATCAACTGAACATGAAAAAAAGCAGCTGAAGTTGCTAAGAACTGTCCTTGTCGACACTAAGGCTTACTGTCTGCATCTCTGCATCGCAGCGGAACGCAACATGCCACTGTGCACACGAGAGAGACCCTTTCCGTCATCCCTAGCAGGATGTAGCGCAACAAACGATCATAAAACTACTTTGAACCTGGCGCTTTGACATGGAACCTCACTCCACCACATGTACTGATCCGGCAGGCATGTTTCGTCCAGTTGCTCGATCCGCAAACATCCCCGCCCCAGCCGGCATCATGCAGCTAATTCAGCTTCAGTTCCTCAGATGATAATGACCCCTGTGCAGGATAGATAGATTTCCCGAATCGGATCATGAGAACGGGCAAGTTAGGAACACCATGATGCCGTGCCGCTGTTGTGACGTGCCAACACCTCCTTGCAGCATTGAGGCAGGAATGAATCGTCCCATAGTCCATGCTGCTGTGCCTCCCAGGTGCCATAGTGTCCAGGTGAAGTTTGCCTTCTGCTCAAATGCTAATTGCGAATGTGTGGTTTCAGGCTTGGGAAATACACTTCTACGTTGTGGTTTCAGGCTTTTGCCAATTGCGAATTTGTGGTTTCAGTCTTTTGCTGATGCTGATATATGTACACATTAGCAGGAAGGGGGGAACGCCAGTCAACTCGGGTTGACTATCGGTAGAATTTAAGTCTGCAGATTGTAGTGTCGGTAGATGTCTGCAGATTGTTGTGTGGGGAGTTTCGTTTCTGTGAATTGTATCGGTAGCGTTGGGAGCAGCGCTCACTCAATCATTGTTCTCGAAGTTCGACCCTCCACCCCCTATCACATGCTCCCATGGAGGTACCGGGTTTCAAGATCGCCATGATGGATTCGCGACTTTTAGCACCCTACCTGATCACTGAAGGTGCCCTGCCATTCAAACAAGTGGGACACTCAGGAACACCGACTTGGCTACGCAGGAGAACCCCCAGACTCAGTTCCGCGGATGAATTGCTCCCAGCGGATTACCATTCGCGGGGCTCAGTGCCGCCTCCCGGGTCTGCCTTGGAATGAACACCCGTTTAGAAAACTCATCCACACAGATCCGATTGCATGCTGTCCTGGTCCATAGCTCTTCATAATCATACCACATATTTATGGGTTTGGGAAACCGTCTATGAGGAATGAGAAATGTGTGAGGGAATGAATTGGGTATAAGCGAATAGATTGCAACTTGGCAACCAAGCTGTCGTGTATCCAGTGGCTTGTGATCGGGTGAATCGTGAGGCCATATATGTCTAAAATGTTGCTAAGATAATAGTACAGCCAATACGATGGATTAATGAATAAAAACCAAAGAATTTGTCAGTTTTAGATCACATGTATGTGACTACTTCAAGTGTTAAGAAGTCTTAATGCATGAGCACCTCTTGGAAGGATGTGCAAAGTGTGCAATTTGCATTAAGGCATTAAGACTTCATATCTATGCAAGCTAATGGTGGGATAATTTCAATTACTTGGTTGTTTTTAAGAAGTCAGGATTCGTCTCTTTTTACTTTGTTACGTTATAGTTTAAAACTTCACTGCAACGTGAAACCCTATCCGCTTTGAATATTGTGTCCTCTTCGAAATAATGTCCAGGTTTTAGAAGAATCAAAAGTTATAACAAAGATGGGAAAGTAAACAGGTGAATTCAACGGATTTACTTGCAGTTTGAATGCTTTCAGGCCTTCTTCCAATGCATTGTTGACATTTCTCTTACGAAAGTACATTGACGACTTCGAATGGGACGTTCGCGTGAAAGGTGTCAGTGATTGATTCATTGTGCTACCACATGTACTTATAGCCTATTATTAATTACGTAATTTCATGAAGGGCGGATCCCATGGAAGTGTTGTTTATAGCTTTTGACATAGGCAAGCAAGGAGAGCAAGTTTTAGGATTTGTTCCAAGTGTTTAAGGATGAGGTTCAAGATTATTCCGAGGGTAGACAACAATGCAACAAGTGAGGAGTATTGGTTGTTTTCTCCATGTGCGACCCAAAAATTGGAACCGACTTGGTATGAAACTTAGGACAAGAACCAGGGTGTACTTCTCAAACAGTGGGAATGCATTCGCGGACTTCCACAATCTAGTCGCCTTCGATCTTCACCGAAACACGTATTTTTAAAGGAGGTTGAAGAGTGATATTACGCGGACGATAATTCTAACATTGGTTCCTCTCTAGACTTCTATATTGTGACTCAGTCACTTATTGAATGACTAAGGGCAACAAGACGTTCGATGATAGTCATAAAGAATATGGCCCAGGTAAAATATCCGATTAGAAAAGCACCACAGCTGGAATGTCTTATCCTTGCTGTGATGTTACTCATCGATCTTAAGGAGCTTCAGCAAGAGCATCAGTGCAAGAAGCATTATTCAAATAAACAAGCAGACAAAATGGACATTAGGTCTGAGGCTGAAAACAGGAATCTTCACTTTTAAAAGGTTAACAAAAAAAGGATCTGCCACAAGCCACAGATGAATTCTAAGCCTTCACTGCAAACTTCCTCTTAGGGAAGTAAGCTTCCTTCTTCTTTTGTTTCTCAGTCTTCATGCTTGCCTACACGTGCACACGAAAAGTTTTAGCACAAAGAGAAACACTTGTCAATCCCTCAGAAGTTGTTGAGGAACTAATACGCACCTCCCCCAAAATAATCGTACCACAATCGCCATCCTTGAAATATTAAAAGCCAAACAATTGGTAGCCTAGGGCTCAAAAACGCACCTGGTGCTTGGTCAGCCTCCTGCGAATAGCGCGAGTTTTCTTCGGGCGCAGGTCAATAGGAATGTACTTCTTCTTGCTGTACGCTTCACGAAGGCTAGCCTTTTGTGTCTGGGAAATGACGGTTAGCACCTGGGCGATTGAAAGCCTAACCACCTTGCTGCACAAATAAAGTTATAATACAATAAGGTAAAAGCTATGCACCCTGGAAAGTTGCAACCAATGGATATCATATAACCTCGGTTTCCTGATTAGGTACACTGCTTGTCTGGATATTGAACCATGACAACTATTTCTGATTGAGAAGAAAGCGGAGACGGATACAATTAAGTCCTAAGAACATTTACAATCAAGTCCTAAGAACCGAAGAAAAGTTACACCGAAAAAGGGGGGGGGGGACGATGACACTAATGTTGAAGGGGACCATTGAATTCTAGAAAGGAAAGGAGATGGAAAACAATGAATGCAAGGATATGGTAAAGACGAAATCAATCTGAAACGATGCAAAAACCATAATAAAAATCGGAAAGAGCAACGCACATCTTGGACAACTTGTTGGGCGCCCCTCCGGTAACCTTGGCCACTCGCAAAGCAGCAAGCTCTGCTTTCAGCTCCTTCAACTGCATTCACAATTGGTAACCTAAGCTGAAGGGTAAAAAACAAAAACACAGCCACACAGCCACACACACTCATATACTTACACAGCCAAAACCCTTGCAACGAAATCGCTCGAACACTTGCAACAATCTATTGGCTACATTAATTCCTCGACATCTTGTAAGTGAGCGCCAAACCATGGACGGAAGACTGGTTTGTAATAACTCTCTAGCGAAGAACTGCACCTGGTTAAGAAGTTCATTCTTGCTCTTGCTACGGAGCTCGTGAACCTTGATCTTGGCTGCGACACATATTTCAAAAAATAAGCAAAGGGCACCTTAAGTCGCATCACCATACCCTAGCCGCATAAACAACTTAAGACAGCTATTTCAAGTGATCACGAAATCTGAAAAAAATGGAGAACACGAGCAAAAGCGCGGTACCGCTTACCCATTGTAATAGAGATTCGGACGCGCAAGGTGGTATGAGAGACGAAGCAGCGGCTAGTGCGACCGCAACAGGTCGGGAAGAGGGAGTTGATGTTGTCCGCCTGTGCCCCTAGTACCGAGAACCCACAACCCCGAAACCCTAATTTCAGCTGCCCCGTTCACACTGGATGCAGACGATCTTCCTCCGTAAACTCTGCAACGTGAAATACTTTGGGATGAACTCTGTGGAAGGAAGTAACTATTGACAGCAACATTCATATTACGGAATATCTGTCTGACATTCTGTGCCACTTTTTTAATAGGTGAATTAACACCTTGTTATATTTATTTTAATTTGTATATGATGTGTTTTTTATACTCGAATTTTTTAAATCTATTAATTTATACTCTTATGTTTTCAGATATATATATATATATATATAAAGAGAATGAGAGAGAGAGAGAGAGATAGATATATATATATATATATATATATATATATAGGTAAGAAACTCATGGTTGAAATTATAATAGATAAAGATACAAGAAAATTATAATATCAAGTTTTGTACGTAATTTTTAATTTTAGGTTTTACAAATAAATATTGAAATCATAAGTTATATTTTACAAATGGGAATCATAGGTTTTATTTACCAATGGGAAATTTATAAATATTACCACCCACATGTAATTAGGAAAGTATTAATAGTTGTTTATATGTTTTTTCTTCTATGAAAAAATATAAGGTTGTTCATAACGATTATCATATAATCACTCATTCTTATACTAACATATTATCATTTTTATAGTCAACTATTTTTATATAATATTGCAAAAATCTGACTTCCATTCATGGTAGCTACTTATCATGGCAGCTTTTACAAATAGTTGTTTTATAATTTCTTTAGTATCTACAAATAATTTTTGAATGTGAATCATGAAGATTAAAGCTCCTTTGAATTAAGTAAAATTATATAGAGTTGTTAATATATCAAAATATATACTAGAGATTAAGAACTTGTTAATTGTTTCAATTAACTAAGCAATAAACTTAGACCAATAGAATTTGGATAATAGAAAAATTCAAACTAATAAGATTTAGACCCTAAATAAATCCAAACTAAAAGGGTCTTGACAATGGACGATATGAATCTAGATAAGAACTTGTAATGGATCAAATGTCAATGATCTATTTAAAGAATCAAATTCTTAGGTACAAAAAATTAAGTTGGAACAATATAGGCAATATGCTTAGCTGCCATATTTAATTAGAAGTAGTATAAGTATATAATAAATCCAAGAAAGACCTATTCTTATCTTTGGCAATTACTAAACTTATTGAAATTTGATGTTCCATTCATATTGATTGTTTTAGAGTGAGTTTAACATTATTTTTTCTTATTCTTATTAACTAAAATAAGTTTTGTCTTACTCCAACTTATAACTATAATTGATTCAAAAAAAAATTAAACTATTTTTCCCCCTTATTTATTTGATAGAAGTTAATTATATTAAAATTATTTTAAATTAGTTCAGGTCCAACTTATTTGGAAACATTTTGGAATTGGTCATCATTCTTGATTAAAATTTTTGAAGACTTTTTTTTTATATATATATTTGTTTACTTTTAACTATCAAATTTTAAATTGGATGCAATCTCAAATGTATTTAAGAGACTTTTCAGGGTCAAACACATATTTAATTAAATTACATGAAGGATTTTTTTATTTTTATTTTTATTTTTATTTTTTGTTAAAATTTAAATTTTCCAACTTTGGATTGGTCAAATTTTTCAAATATTAAAGACTTGAATGAAGACTACCAAATAAAATATTTGAATTTAGAATTGGTATCTATTTGTAAGTGCCAAAATCCAAATTACATATCCATTAAGTAGATATCTAAGTTTTGAATCAAAATATATATTAAGTTCTAAAGTCCAAATTAAGAGTCATCTAAAAAGATGACTAGATTTTGGACTATTAGATACATGTTCTTTTCATCTTACTTCCTTTAACTTTTAATTTTTTAATCTTAATGATTAATCAAGACAAAGTCTTTTTTTGGCCAACTTAAAAACCAAGGCTAGTAAGACTCATGAATAGTATGTGTAATATTTAAGAGGAGCCTTAAGGTCTTAATGTATTCTTTGCACTTACCTCTAAGGTGCTACAACTTGTATAAGACTAGCTGCTAGTGAATCTAGTTTCTTGTAATAAAAATATTCTTTTGTAGTTTTAATTTTACCATTGTATTAAAATAAACCTAATTGACCAAAGAACATTTTAGGGTCTTTAAATATAATTATAATTCCTCATAATAGTCTCCAAAATTTAATATAATAATTTTATATAAAAATCCTAAAAATGTATTCTAAAAATTATTGAATCAAATTTAGATATATTTTAAGAAGTCTTCTTATGTATTAAAGGTGTTAACATTGAACTAAGTTTAACCTATTACAAAATAGAAAATATGTATTATAATAAGAATAATTTATATTAACTAAAAATCTTCTTATTTACATAAATTACTAAAAAATCATTTTTTCATATTTATTTAACCAATAACTATTAGGTATATATATATATATATATATATATATATATGAATTTCAAAGAACATATTAGATATTCATATCAAGAACTAAATAAGAACCATCACAAAGAAGAAAAAAAATACCACATCAATTTAGATAATTGCATCTAAGATTTTTAAGACTTTGATCTTATGATTTTTTAACTTAGAAAATTCTTACTATTTTAAGAACCTTCTAAATTTTTACTTTGTTTCTTAAAATTAAAATAAATTTTTAAAATTTGAATTTTCTTATTATAAAAAACTAAATTATTATTTTTAATAATACTATTATTAAAATGCGTAAGTAGAGTCCAAATCTATGATTTTTTATTATTCAATTTTTCTTTTCATTAATATGAAAGTAGTTTAGTAATCCATTTGTATACTAATATGTCTCATGATGTTAAAGTAGAAAGAGTTTCATGGTTCAAGCTAATGAATAAAATTAAATATTTTTAAAAGTGATTATTATAATTGATCATTAAGAGACCTTAGAATAAATCAAAATAATTTCAAATTACTGTTAAAAATTAGACTAAAGCACAAAAAATTAAGACTAAAAGATGCAAGAACATTCATAAAACAAAAATAGGTTTTTATTTTCTGTTAAAAGATATATATATATATATATATATATATATCTGATAAACCTTTCTTAACATGCTCTCCTTTCCAACATGTGTAAAGTACATCACATAGTGTAGCCTTAGTTTATGGTTTTATAAATAAGCTTGAATACAAATAATGTCTTTCTTTTTTCATCCCCCTCCCCCCACCCGCCCCCCCATCTTTTCTTTTTTCTTTCTATTGACCTTGGCATATATTCATCTTTGAACAGAAAAAGTCTTTAAACAACTACCAACATAATCCAAAGATATCAAAGTGTTGTATATATTGCTAGTTGGTGTATGGTTTGGAATTATTTAGAAACAACACAATGATAAGAACTTTCAATTGAACACATATAAAAAAGCATTACTGGTTTTATAAATATTTTTTAACACAACTTCACAATTGTTTCAAAAAAAATGTACCTCGAAATAGATCCAATAGAAATATCAATGGGCAACACTATACACGAGAAAAATGCATTCCAACTCATCATTTCTTCTTAGAGTTTTGAGTTGATTTTTTTAAGCATAAAGCTTGCAGAGTGGGGCTTCTTAACTTTGATTAGTCAAGGGATTTAAAAGTTGTGTCGTCTCACCTATTCCATCAAGTTTAAAGTCTTTCTAAGATACTTATTGGTATTTTTAAGAATAATAAATTTAATTTATTTATAAAAACTATCATAAAAAGATTTTTTAGATAAAAGATCAGCTTTGTATTCTTGTTAGAAATTACACAATCACAAAACCATTTTGTAAAAAACTAAATTAAATTATTTTAGTTTAAAAACTAATAAGATTCTTTGAGATGTGTATATATATATATATATATATATATATATATAAGTTTAAAAACCTTCTTATCATAAACGATGACAAAAGTTTCACAAAAAACAAATTTTAACCATCTTAATAAACTTTAAATTAAAATTAAAGATAAACTTAATTTTTATAAGAATAGAATTAAAAAAATTAATACCATGTCATTTTTATAATTCATATAACTATTTTTTATTTATAATTATTGGAGGTATATACAAAAGAAATAAAAATACACGCATATATATATATATATATATATATATATATGTAATTAATTATATAAATTGGTATAAAATATAAAATATATTATTTGCTTAATATTTTATTTTTTTATCTAACATATGAATGTATTTATTTATATTCATATATATATATATATATATATATATATATATCTATACATATATAGTTTTATTACTTCAAGTAAAAAAGATGTATAATACATTATATAAAGCAATAAATTTATTTTTTATAATTATTTTTATAATTTAAATTCTTAACTTGTTATGTTAATATATAAATATATTGAAAATCGAAATCTTTAAAATTAATTTGATTTTTTTGAAATAGATGTATTTTATAATTATTATACCATGTTTGTATATATATATATATATATATATATATATATGTAATTTATTTTTATTTTTATATGTAAATATTAAAAAAATCAAATTGTTGCATGTATGGATATGTGTGCATGTATGTGTGTATATACATTTTATGTATACACAATCATGTGATACAATACCTTTCTGTCTCGCAAAAGCCTCATCACTTTCCCTGTTTATAAATTAATGGAGGCCAATATATCCATTATATGTGTTCATATTTTCAACATCAATCTGAAATCTTCAAAAAGAACTCTTAAAACATGAATATACTTTATTGTCTTTTTCTTCAAATTTATTCACAGTATTCTTCTAGTAGAGAATACGTATTAAAATATTATCACTTTTCTAAAGGTAATGTCATGCTTTGTTAACCAAAATTTGTCAAGTTTCTTATTGAAGCAGTCTTTTGATACTTTTTGAGTACATCCAGACAGACTTGTAGAATATTTTTGACACAACATCCTATCTAACAAAAACCTAATGACTAATATAAAATTTGTATACAAACAATTCTTGTAAAATCACATCTATGTTCTACTCACACCACTCTACAGAAGCCCCGTAAGTGCATGCTTAAGAAGAAGTAGCATGAACTGCCATTGAAAATCTCTCATCTTCATATGTTTATAAAAAACCCCAATACGCCGATTCCTACTTATCTGCCATCGAAAAAGACAGTGTCTAGACACTGAAAACTGCACAAACTTGTCGACATTGAGCAGACCCACATGGAAAAGGCTTCCTTCCTTACGATCTAGAGCATGCTTCATGTACCGGCTATGCAGTAGAAGCAGAACTACAGAGGCACAGAATCACACCGTAACGGTGGATACAACACATAATGCGCATGTCGGTAGACCTCCGATGAAGCATGCCACCAACATTCCGGAAGCGGTGCCGCGTCCTCGATCCTGTTGTGAGAAATTCGACCATTGTGCTATTTTAGATTCACAGTGATTGGCTGGGACTAAGTGAGATATGTGTTGTGATCCTTAAGCTCGTGGGTCTGCAACCATTATCATGAGATGGTTTCTGACTTGGATCTTCACCTATAGGAGGTGCCGGTGCCAAACGGCGAAAGAGATGAACATGATCCCTTGAGAGATCGATCACTATTGTGCTCTTATAGTCACGGTGGCAATTAGGCAACTGTACATGCCATCATTTGGAGGTGTCTTGTACTCCGATTAGGGTTGGCGGTTCCAAGCCCGACTACATGTTCTGTACTTCATAACCTTCTACTTCCGATTAGACTACAGCTAGTTGGGTTACAATGTAGGTTCGATACTCAAGCTCAAGTGATGATGGTTTTGCCGAGGACGAAGAGGGTGAGCGAGAATGTGCATCCAAATATTCCATACAGGAAGCCACGATCTAGAACCACACCGAACAAGGAGATTCCAGCCTTCGCCTGCTGTAAGTAGCACACTGCAATCAGTCATCGACGTCAGTTCTTCAGCGCATGAAATGATGTTAGAATCTTGCAGAATGGTGACTTCTGCGTCAATTCAGCATGTTTGGTGCCATCTAAGTCCCAGTCTAGAAACCATCTCAAGTTGCGTCACAATAGATTGCGGAGAGGTCAACGAGATGACATACCCAATGCCTGTCGCTTTTGGTAGCTCTCCATGTCGTGAATGGTTTGATCGACATCGCTTGAGTAGCGAGGTGATTCCTCGTCGCTGCTGTCGACTTCGTCGGAGGAGTCGTTGTACAGGCGTGGGTGGGCAGGTCCACGCATGGCGGAAGAATACTGAGGAGGGTCGTTGCTGTCACAACCATCAGTTTTCAGCGACTCCGTCACAGCATGAGGATTACAAGTGGCCAGAGCATGCCATTGGCTCACTATGCCAACAATTCGTTGTGCTCTGTGAGTGATCTTTGCTGCTCCGCCGAGGCAAAGCATTAGGCCAGTCAGCTGCACCACAGAGCATACCTGCATATTCGCAGTCGCCACCACAGTTTAGCCGACATACTGGAAAACAGAAGGCATGAAGAGCTTTACAATTTGATCTATGAAATGCGAAAATTTAGGTTTTCGTCCGAGGGGGAAAATCCATAGGCTCGAGCAACTTACAACAAGATCTCCGCAGCGGAAGAAATTGAATTTTTCATACGTGCGGAGAAGCACGAACACAGAGCAAAATTGTGTGAAGCTGATGATGAAGAGTGCCGCGAGCAGGAATGAGCGGAACCTGTGGCTTATGATGGTCAATTGGCTCCGGAGACGCAAGTGCTCAGACATGATTACGGAGACATTGGACGTCACTTCGAGGAGGCTGGTATAGCCTTTGAAGCGAAGGATTTGAAGCGAGCACAGAAGGCGGAATAAGATGCATGTGAAGAGGAACACGGAGGTTCGATACAGCCACGACAAGAGGCCGGAGGTACACAAGAGAACGTTGAAGATGATGTTGAGCCTCTGATTGTTCTGGATGAACGGTATTGAGACAGACACGTAAACATACCACCACAACCGGAAGGCGATTTCAATGACCGCAGCTGGCAACAGGATTCGACCAAGTGAAGAAAATGAGCTCTGCACAACCACGGCAGGTCTGGCACACTTAATTCGAGTGGGAGGCGTTCACATGAAGTAGATTATTATGAAGAAAGAAAGCGATTTGTAAAACAGGAGGTGCCTGAGAGCTTCATGGCGAAAGGTGTTAGGATAGTCCAGAGTAAAATCAAAGTAGAGAATATCGAGGATGTGCTCACATGCAGCTCCGATTCGTATCCTTTGCGGACCTCCTCGGACTCGCGGGCGATCCTGTCAAGCAGTAGGGTGCGACGCAACCCATATCTGCGTACAATATGTGACAAGCACAAGAACGAGACTGCCGCCATGGCAGTTTCAGCAATTTGCACGAGCTCCTCAAACGGGTGTCGGTGTTGTGAATCGCAATCCGGGCATGATATGGAAGTGAGGTTCACAAAAGGCACAACAAACGTGAACAAAAGAAACACAATCCAAGAGAAGAGCATCTTGGGTTTCGTCGATTGGTCGAGACCCAACCATCGCAGCCCGTTCCGAAAGTACCGCAATTCATCACACGGATGGGACAGCATCCGCTTGTACATCGACTTGCGATTCGGGTCATCGATTCCAACGCAATGTTCTTGATTGCTGGGTGTCATGGGTGTCTGTGCCACCACCTCGTCCGGAAACGTAACAGTGTGGGAATGAGTTTCTTCCGATGGCTGCTTCTTCAATTCATCGTATTCTCCTCTTCCGACGTCAGGAAGGCAATTGAGCAATGGCGTCAGCGTAGAATTCGTCCTGGTGTCCCCGTCCATGGTGCTAAAAACTTTCAACTAGGCGAGAGTTCCTCTGCGTTATTGCTCAAATCGTAGATGTCGTAAAAATTAGACAAAAGCTACCAGATTAGTGCTCAAGCTCTGAGCTTATGTCCTCCTCAGATTGTCACCGACGCGATCAACTGCAACTGTTGAAATTGATGCGTAGATAGACTGCCGCATCTGTGAATCATATTTCTCTGCGACAAATCGTGTCCAAGTACCAAAACAACTTGTTGAAGAATGACAAGTAAAAAACGAATACTCGATTGGAGAAAGAGTATCCTACATAACCTGCGCGCGACCCTCGATCACAATTCAGCTCTCTCTCTCTCAAAATCCCTCACGCAAACAGTATGACAAAAAGCAAAGGCGGCTGTAACCGAACCGCACTCTGCTTCCACTGCTTTCTAGCTCCCCAATAACATACAGAAAAATTAAATGCACATCCTTGAAGTCAGTGACTTTGGCTCGAAAAGCCAGACCAGAGCCTTGTAAGCAACACCGACCATCCAAAACAACAGTTGCGGATATACCAGCAGCCAGCTCAATGCCTGCCACGGTAGCAATGTACCTCCGCTGACCGAAAGAAAAATAAACAACCATGGAAAGCTTCAATCCAAAAGTGGGCGCGGTCGTAGCACTGCGCGTCAATTCACGAGGCCCTGAAACGAGTCAGCGTGAAAAGAGACGATACTGGGAACAGACTGGAACGCAACACGCACGATGCAAGCTGTGAGCAGCTTTCATACGAAGATGCTGTTCCTCGACGCTTTCTGCCGGGTTGTGGCTGATGTCAGGATCCGTCGGTGACGCAGATGTTGTCGTGTGAGATTGCTGGCTGGGGTGGGTGGGAAGAAGATTCACCAGATGGCTGGGTCCAAGCAGAAACACTTGTTCCCCGCAGAGTCGTCGCGGCTCCACTAGACTCCCTCGTCACCACGTTCGTGGCTTTTCTGCCACTGTCGATGCGCCTCCATGTGTCGCAACGCTTATGCGCGATGCGCGACGTTACGCACGCAGGGGAACGGAGAGAACACCCTGGTCGCGACCACAAAGAAGTCTATTTTGGTGTAGCCTGCGGAATGGATGCTGCGGATTAGGGTTTGGACTATGGGATCTCTCGAGTTGTTGACTCAGTAAACAATGTTGAAAATAGGTATTTTTGAGGAAAATAAAATAGTATCATATATGTTGTTTGAAATACTCATTAAAATGATTGTTACATATTAAAGGTGTTTTAGTACTATGTAATGCATTGTATGATCAAATTATAAGTTAAGCAACTATAATTTTATGTTTTTATCTTCTATGTCTTTAAGATTATATAAGAAGCTATTCAAATTAGCTGAATACCAACATCTTATGCATAAATCTATCTTTAAGTATAAGTAGTTCTATAGAAGTGATATTTTAGAATATAAAAATAATTTTTATTTTTCTTTCCATAATGATGTTTGACCTAATTTGATTTAATAATGATGAAGCAAAGAAAAACTTGAGATCTATTGAAACTAAAATAAATAAGAAAAATTAAAAAATATTTAGAAGTAAAAAATGTCTTAAACATTTGCATTATAAAAAACATGATAGATTATCTTAATAAAGTATTAAGATGATATTTTTATAGGACCTCTAATATGTATCCAATGTTGTTGTGTAGTAACATGGCCATTAGATGAAAGAAGAAGGAAAATATCTTATTATAGAAGAGCCTAATTAAAATATATAATAAAAAATATCAATAAATATCAAGCAACTAATAAAATCTATTAGTATTAGAATTGACTTTTATGAAAATAGATTCTATTTACTTTTTAGAGCTATAAATAAGGCAAAATAAAGTATATTAAAAAATAAAGTATATTAAAAAATAAAGTATATAAGCATATATAAGAAGGAGTTAAGAATTGAATTTAGCAAAAATTACCTCAAAAAGTCAAGAATTGATACATAAAGAGGACAAGTTGTCAACCAAGGTCAAAATTAGATTCCAAAGCACAAAATCGAATACCTATGGCGACTCTAGGATTTTGGAAATTAAAAAATGGGATTTAAGAGAAGACTTAAGAAGAGATTTTTGAAAATTTGTTTCAAGTCATTTGGATCAATATTGAGGTTTTGAAGGATTTTCAAAGTTAGTGATATACTTGGTAGGTTTAGATTTTGAGAAATAAAAATACATTTACAAATTTGAGGGTTTTTTAATTTTTTTAGAATAAGTTTGGGTGAAAAGTAGGTAGTTTGTTGTTGTGCTTGTTATGAATGTGTGTGAAAAATTTATCATCAATTATATAGTTAGATTAAAGCATATGAAATTTTTTATAAGTTATGGTTTCAAAAATTTGAGATTTAGAGTCTTTGAGTAATTCCAAGATCTTGTAATATCTATTTGTTGGATTGAAGCAAAATTTAGTATAAACTAAATACCAAGTTAATATCAAAATATGTGCATTAATTTACAAAATTAATATAAAATAATGGCATTGCCACTACTATCTAATTTTGAGAAAAGGATTGAGAAGGCTTCTATGCAATCCAATTCAAAAGATCTAAGAAAAATAAGTCATGAATTCAAGGATGAATTGACATTAGATAGTTTGAAAGTTTGGTGTACAATTTTTATGATAAGAGATGAAGAGAGATGTTTCAAAGAAATGCTTTCACAACATGGTGAGGCATTTGCATTTGAATTACATAAGACAAGGTGTGTTGATCTAAGTATTGTAGCATCTATGATTATTTTCACAAATCCACATGAACCATGGAATTTAAGGCAAATTTCAATTTCAAAGGCCATTTTTCAATCTAATACAATTACTCAATGAAAAGATTAGGATGGAAATTTTAGAACCATCTATTGCACCATATTTCAATTAATGATTTATAATACCTAAGAAAAATGGGACATTGAAGTTTATTTAAGATATCAAATTGATAAATAAAATAATTTTTAGAAATATGGGTTTAAGTTAAATTATGGATGAATTTACAAAGCATTTATAAAGAAAAAAATTTATTCTATGAGATATTTTTTTTAGGATATGATTAATTTTAATTGGCAATGTAAAATAGAAATTTGACAATTGTGAAGATATTTTTAGGATTGATGAAAATATTTACATGACCACAAGGAGCTACGAATTCTATGGCACATATGATGAATGGAATAATAAGGTATTAAGAGGTTTTATTTTAAGAATAACAATCTTTCTTAAATGATGTGCCAATTAAAGGATGTGAAGAAGAAAAAAAAGATGAGACTTTGGATTCAAAGAACCATAGAAAGTTCGTGGTAGCTCATATTGATGATTATGAAAAGATTTTAACAAGGTTAGAAGAAGTTCATTAACCTTATTGGGAGCAAAATCAATGTTTGGAATAAAATCATACATTTGGTAATAGGCCATATGTGTGGATCATGTAGATACAATCCAAATATGGAAAGAGTTGATATTATTAAAAAGATGAAAGAATATGCAAATACAATAAAAGTCAAAAGGTTTTTAGGATCATATATTTTCTATTATATATGAATATCTCATTTTACAAATATAGCAAATCTATTATATGGGTTGTTAAAAAAGAATAAAAAAATTTAATAGAAATAAGAACAAAAAAAAGCTACAAAATAATTAAAAGATATATATATATATATATATTTCCAACTTTAAAGAAAATAATTTATAAATGTGCAAGACCAAAGATATTAACGGTTGATGCAAGTCCAATTGGAATAGATTGAGTAATTGTACAAGATGATAAAAAAAATAGATATGTAGTAAGGTTTGGAGCAAAGGTTTTGAATGCTAGAGAAAAGAAGTATGTGAAAATCAAAAAAAAAATTATAAGGTGCAGCAATAGCTATAAAAAAAATAAAAAAGAATATTTAATTGCTACATTAATAATCATAGAAAAAAATTTTCTATCTTTATTGGATATGATCATAAGTTGTTCAAATCTTAATATTGCTCTGTTAAGATAGATAGCATATATCAAATCTATGAATACAAAATTTAAATATATTGTAGGGAAAGAAAATTCAATTGCAGATATATTATCAAAAATAAGGTATTACAATAAAGAAGATATGATTGATTTGGAAGATAATGTGGGTACAAATTTTTATACTAATGCATTATCAAAGGAAAAAGTTCTATATATGAATACACTATTAGAAATATTTTTATAAGATTTATATGAAGGTGAATAGAAAGATATTGAAAAAGTATTTAAGTACATTAAAGCAATAAGAGGGTTAGATAGATTAAGAATTTTAGAAAATCCCTAAAAAAGCTTATAGATATTTTTATGTGATGGATATTTATGGAAGCATCCAAAAAAGAGAAGAAAAGTATTACAACAAGTAATATGTGATTTAGAAGCTTAACAAGAGGTTATTAAGGATTTTTATGCAACTTTATAGGTAGGACAAAGAGGAATTTGGGTAACTTTTACTAAATTGAAGGAGGAATATTGGTGGAAAGATATATACAAAGATATGGCAGATTTTATAGGATCATGTGAGATTTGTAAAGTTTATTCTAATATTTGATATCAAGATGGATTACATCCAACTAATCCTCTAGTACTACACTATAAGTGGATAGTGGATTTATTAGTAATAGCTATGAAACTTTGATAAATGAAATATTTAGTACTTGCTAATAAAGGTTTATTAAATATGATTGAAGGATGAGTATTAAGAATAAAAAGTACTGAAAGTATATGCTGATTTTTCTTAAAAGCCATTGTTTGTTGTTATGGTTGTATTGAAAAAATCACTACAAATAGAAGCGAATTGGATGCAGAAGAAGCAAGAGAACTCTTTAGTATGATAAAAATTAAACTTTCTTTGACAACAACATATAATCTAAAAGATAATGAGAAGAGTGAGAAAAGATATTTACCTATTGTTAAGACATTAATAAAAGTATGCAATTATAAAGTACATCAATGGCCTTAGGCTACTATCATTTGCATTATGGATAGACTCCATCATTCATAGTAGGGTGACTAATTATATACCTTCTAAGTTTATGGATAAAAGCCAATTATACCAATAGAAGAAACGATGTATATATAGGGAGTATTGTCTTAGAAAAATGGTCTTAATAGAGATGAGGTTTTAGCATTATGGATTCAACAATTGGAAAGAAGACTTGAAGATATTGAAATAGCAACAGAAAAGTTGAAAGAAATTAGAAAAAAAATAAAGAAAGATTTGATAAAATGCATTGACTATGGCCTAATCAATTGAATAAAGTGATTAGATTTTAGTCTGTGATAATAGTTTGAATAACCAACATAGTATATTATGAAAGTTTTCTAAGCATTGGTTTGAATTATATGTTTTAATAGAAGTCTATGACAATGGTATATACATATTTCGGAAACTTAATGGAACAAAATTAAAGACACCTATAGTAGAGAAGTGAGTCAAATTATTTAAATAAAGAGATGTATGCACATATTTTGATAAAGAACAAAATCTATTAAGTGACATTGAAATGAAAGTAGAAGAATAGGTTGAATATCAAGAATTTGACCAAGATGAAGAATATCTTACATCAATATATTAAAGAATCATTGATACATGCCAAAGAACATACAAGTTTAGAGAGGATGGATATTGTATAATAACATGATCATTAGGTGAAAGAAAAAAGAAAATATTTTATTATAAAAGAGCTTAATTAAAAATATATAATAAAAAATATAGATAAATGATAGGTAGATAGTAAAATCTATTAATATTAGAACTATCTTTTATGAAAATGGATTCTATTTACTTTTTAGAGCCATAAATAAAGTAAAATAAAATAGATTAAATAAATAAAACATATGGAAATATATAGAAGGGAGTAAGGAGTTGAATTTAACAATAAATTACGTCAAGAAGACAAGAATTGATACCCAGAGAAGATTGATTGCCAACCAGAATTGAAATCAAATTTCAAAGCTCAAAATCAAGCACCTATAGCAACTCTAGGGTTCTTTTGCAAATTAAAGAGTGGAATTTAAGAAAAGATTTGTGAAGAGATTTTTGAGAATTTGTTTTAGGTCATTTGGTCCAATATTGAGGTTTTGAAAGATTTTCAAAATTAATGATGTACTTGGTGGATTTAGATTTTGAGAAATAAATATACATTTACAAATTTGAAGATTTCTTCAATTTTGTAGCATATGTATGGGTGAAAAGTAGGAAGTTTGTTATTATGCTTATTATGAATGTGTGAGAAATTTGAGGTGAATTGAGTGGAGAGATTAAAGTATATGAAGGTTTTTGTGAGTTATTAATAATTCCTGCGAAGGTGCTATGGTGCAACACCTTGATTTTTCTATGATCATTGGAGAATTCCGGACCAAGGAGTAGAGCTCGTAGTGGTTGGTGGCTGCTGTATCAAAAGCCTTCCTGTTATCACTAAAGGCGTAGACGCCATTGGTGTCGTCCAGCTAGAGATCATAGCTTCTGTTCCTTGTTGTTGATGATTTTTCTGTTTCCTGTGTGCAAGGGAAGGTGGTGACTTTGTTCCGTGAGAAGCTGTAGGGCGGCATCCTTCTTCCTTTTCGGTGGTCAGTGTGTAACTCCGGGTTCGGCGGTGCATCTAGATAGTGCTTTCCTAGGTCGAGCGTGTTGCAGTGGCTGCACTGTTGTTGCAAGACTGTATCTCATTTTTTTCTCTCTCTCCCTCTCAAATTTTTAGGTCCCAAAATGATCCTGGGAGCCTCTCGATTATTGCTGTGCGTAGTGTGCTCTTTCGTGTTTTCGACCGGTGACGTACAATGAAGTGCATGGTTCAGGAAGGAGTGTAGCATTGTTCATGTGGTTCTGGAGTAGCTACGGCGGCAGCACTCATCGGTGTAACAGCGGCAAAAGAGGTTTGCATTTTATGCCGGCAGCTACGTTCTTACAACAACTCCTGTTCCTTAATCCAGTTGGCAATGGTGTGGGCGATTTACGGTGACTACTTATTAAATTTGTCGGCTTATACGGTGCTGTGTCGACGCTAACCTTGTGTTATTCTCCAATTGCGCATCTGTAGTGCACCGGGGTCACACATCTACCACGTGTGTCATCAGTGGCTGCTGAAGTTGAGCTCATAATAGAGTTCTCACATGCAAGTGGTCGTCATCGTCGAATCTTGGTTTTCTGGTGGTTCTACGAGCCATTATTCCAATTGTTGAACTTGGTGAAGTTGGCGTTCGGGTTCTGTCGACGTGTGATGTCTTACAGCAAGTGATAAGAGCAAGCTGGTGTCGGGAGTCTAGCTCTAAATCAATTGTTTTTATTTTGTTCTTTGTTCCGTGGCGGCAATCAAGGGTGCACAGAACCAGTGTGGAAGCAAGTGGCGCTAGTATTTCCTTCATTCCCTCTCGCATGGTTCTACATTCATATCGAGGTGCTAGTGGAGTGCAGCGCTGCAAGGCCTCCCTAGTTGTTAGGTGACTGGAGCTACGGCGGGGGATTCCTGTCCTTGTGGTTGAATGAGAAGAAGTGCTCAACGATTCTAGCTGCATTATTGACGTTGCTTGCGGCACTAGGGTGGCTGATAGAACCTGTGAGATCCGGTTCCATGGTTCTGTATCATTGCGTTTGAAAGAGATCTCAGTAACATGGTTGAGGTGCAATTGCATTGCAAGCGGCGATTATTTGTTTGTATCATATTGCCGAGGACCATGGCGTGGTGTGGTCGTCCTCAACTTTTTGCCTCATGTTGTCGGCCGGGGCTGTTGGCGCTGTGTGGAGATCGCTCCTTGTATAGTTCTACGAGCTTTGTCCGCGATAGTGGAGCAGATCGTCGGGGGCGACAATGACTTAGTTGTTTATCCTAGTCGATTGGTTCATTTTCTTTGAGTAAAAACCTTGTATGTGAAGCAATGGCGAGAATATAAGCCCAGTCATTCCTAGATTTCCCCCTTCGGAAGTGAGATCTTTGTAGAGGTGCTGTGAATATTGTTGCGAGCTGCTCTTGCAAAAGAATTGGTTCAATTCGGTGCGCCCTTGCCAACAGAAAGTTTCCAAGAGTTAGAGGTCACTTGTTCCTCGTAGGTTGTTAAAATAGCTGTAGAATTATTCAGTGGCCGTTGTCGACACTTGTATTGTTGTAAGGTGACTAATCTCTAATCCACGCTGCATTGGAGTCGAAGTGAAGACTGGAATTTCATCGTTAACCTTCATGCACAATAAAGGAACTCGAACAGCGCACGAAAGGAGTGCTGTATTGAGAGTCTAGCTATTGCTAGAGGAAGGCATTGAGAGCAACAAAGACTTCAAGGCAGAACCAATTCCAAAAAGGATTATTAAATAATCGTGAGACTTCTAGATTGGATAAATCTAATCAGGGACAGAGTTAGGAGCTAAACAAAATCAAGTTAGGATGCAATTAGGTTAAGATTCTAAATGATTAAATTTTGGATGAAGTTTTTTTTATAAAATCAAGGATGAATTCAAATTATGTGGATGAATTATTATTCAAGGATGAAATATCATTCAAAGATGAGTTTTGTTAATGGATGAATTTTAATTACATAGAATTTAAAATAAGATAAAAGATAAAAAATGAAATAAAAACATATTAATCAGAATTCTTTATTAAAAGTTGTCAAGTGACTTGTTATTTGCAAGTGTTAGTTGGTAATAGAGTCTTGGCCTCATTGATTGAATATTTTAAAGAGAATTAAGATTGATTTGATTAGGATTTAATTAATAGCCATAAATTCTAAAATTTACATAGTGATTCACTTATAGTGAGCTAGAATAAATTTCTAATTAATGGAGGCTTATTTTAGCTCATATTTTGGTGCATCTACTGGGAGTTTATCTTATCAGTCTTAGACTTGCTTAGAAGACAATTGTTTTATTATTTTATATTTTTAATTGTTTTTTTCTTGTTCTAATACAATCTTTTAATATTGTTGTGGTTGTTGTTGTGCAGGAACTTAGAATGAAGAGGCAACTTAAAGAATTTAGGATAGAGAAGTAAGAAGCATAGCTAAGGATTTAGAATTATTTTAAGGACTAGAATTAGATTAAGTTTAGACAAGGATCTTCATCAAAGGTAGAGCTTTTCTTCCAATTTGGTCATCACTTCCCTTCTTTGTTAAATTCTTATTGAGGGCCCATCTCTAGTGGTAGAAGGGATTTAATCACCCTCTCAACCTCTCGTATCCTTTATTTTCATCTAATTGTAAAACTCTAGTTAGCAACAATTTTTTTAATAATAGAGAGATTTAATCACCCTCTCCACCCACTATACCCTTTCTATTCAAAAGTATAGTATAGAAACAAATTCTTTAATAATATTTCAAAAATTACTTCACCAATAATTTAAGAAAAAAATATTGGGAAGAGAATAGGAAAAAAAAGAAGAGGTATAAGTGAAAGAAAAAAAAGAAGAAAGACAAAAGTGAATTCAAAAGGCTACACTTTAAAGTAAGTTCTCTTGAAATGATTATTTAAGCTTTTATTTGGATCATTAAATTAATATAAGTGGTGGATTGAGAAGCAAGGAGCTAAAAGGAGATACTTGGTACTTCAAAGGCATAAAATCAAGTAAATTCTTTAATTTTTGAATTATTTCAATTACATAAGTTTTTATTTTATTTTATTTTAATTTTAATTTTAATTTATTTTTATCCTTTAAACCATTATATTTAAGGAATTATCTACTACTTATTTAATAATAAAGTGTATTAGACAAAAGAGTTCTTTGCATGCATCAATCCAATTTGAAGGAATATTTACATGGCTACATTGCCGGCTATCATGTCACTTGTTAATGAATCACTACAAAAAATTCTAAATGATCTCCCTAATCAATTACAAACTAGATTTAAAAGATAGGATCAGAAGTGAAGGTTCTATTTTATTCTACTACATTTGAATCTTAGAAGAGAGAATAGATAATTACCTCTTCTGCTTCTTCCTTCTAGATTCTACCTTCCACCACTAGAGATCAAAAGAGAGGTCTTTAGATTTTTTGAAGAGACAAGATTCAAGCTTGGTTTGGGGTTTTGAAGGCCATCTACCGAATTTTCATCTTTTTGTTTTGAAAATTTGAGGAAAGTCAGATCATGTTATTAGCTTTCCAATAAGCTATAGAACATAAGAATTGAAGCTATGAAGAGGGAGAGCCATGCGAATTTGTGAAAGAGGTGGCTGGAATTTTTGAGCTGCAAGATTCAAGTTTGGTTAGGAATTTCTATGCCATATCTCGTATATTCTTCTTCTTTTTTTAAAATTTTGAGAGAAATTAGATCGTGTTGTTAGATTTCCAACAAGTTATTTTATGCAAGAAATGGAGTTGTAAAGAGGGAGATCCAAGCAGATTTGTGAGAAGGGAGTCTCTCAAGTTTTATGGGTGGCGAGATTCAAGACCGGTTTGAGGTTTCCTATTGCATTTTTTAGATTTTCATCTTTTTGTTTTGAAAATTTGAAAGAAGCTAGATCTTATTGTTAGCTTTACAAAGAGCTATTTCATGCAAAAAGAAGAGGTGTGATGAGGGAGATTCATATGAATTTGTTGGAGGAGATTTGCTGGAATTTTTGTGCTGCGAAATTCAAGACTAGTTTGGAACTTGTTATGCCATTTATTGGATTTTTTTCTTTTTATTCTGATAATTTGAAAGAAGTTAGAGCTCATTGTTAGCTTTCCAAAAAGTCCTTGTATGTGAGAAAAAAAAAGCTGTGATGAGGAAGATTCAAGCTAATTTGTAGATGGGGGTATTGAAGCAGTGACTAGAGCAAGTAGCCAATTTTTTTCCTCCTTGATTTGGCTCTCATTTTTTCAAGATTTTGTTTAAGGACTTTAACAATTTAAAATTTTTAGCTTGAATTAAGCTCAAAAAGCTAAACTTTGCATAGATTAGATTAGTAATAAGTAAGTTATAGGTATTTTAATAAGTTGAGATTTGAGTTTAAGATTTGAATTAAGGATTGGCTACATCTTAGCACAAGAAATAAATTAGACTAAATTTTGTATTTAGCTTTTGGCTATCTTTTTACATTTGACTTCATTTAGGCAACATTATATTTCTTTCAATCCACTTGCAATTAAGGACCTTGTATTCTAAAAAAGAGGCTTGCCTTCTTGACACTAACAACAAAATACCTTTGCATTGAATGTTGTTTAGATCACTTCCATACAAAGTCATTCTATATAATATTTTAAGAAAAAAAAAGCTTTGATTGGTACGATACTCAAGTAAGCATTCTTTTTTTAGATTATTTTTGTTGTATTTTCTTTCTCTATCAAAATGAATGTTTAAGTAGGATAAAAGTTGATAAGTACAAGATAATAAAAATTTAAATTCCATAAGTTGTTTTATTTGGATTATTTTAATTATTTTAACTTTTAATTTTTAATTTTTAGAAATGAAATCATGGTCATAGAAATTTAATGCATCACTTTATTAGATCCAATAAACACGTATTAGTATAATTTTTGAAAAATCTAGAATCTTTAAAAATCATTAAACATTTCTTACCAAATATTAGGATTTTAATTCCTAAACCTGTTTTAAATTTGCCTAAAAATATCTTTAAAGAATTTAAAGACCTTCTTTTAAAAGACCTTAAAGAAAATTTAAAAAACTTATTTTTAAATCTTTTGATAGATAATATAAGTAATTTGGATCAAAGGAGCATTCATTCATCTCAACTACCAAAGACAATAGATCCAAATAGATCAAAAAAAAGAAAAAAGAAAAATAAAAGAACCACCATCCATATCAATTAATCTTTTGGTTCAATCAAGGAGTTTATTTATTTAAGTTTTGGAGGGACTTAGTGCTGCTCCTATGCCTCTTAAACTTCCTATCTTTAGAGGTACAAGAGATGAAGATCCTTCAATCCTTGTAGAGTATTTCATAGAAATATTCACTATGTATTTGATAACAAATGGCCATTCTTATTTAGTATTGTTTTCAACCACATTAAAAGAGGGGGCATAAAAGTGATATTGCAACCACTCTTCTAACACCTTCTTAAATTGGGACATGATCCACTACTTTTTCTTAGAAAATTTTGAGCTTGAAGTAAGACAAATCATGGCCTTAATTACTTTATCTTTTCTTAAACAAGGAAAGGATGAAGTTATTACATCATATATCCTAATTTTTGAATTAGTAGTGATAAGATTTGTAAGAACTTTGCTCTCCAATGACACCTTCAAGCATTTCTTTATTCAAAGATTTGCCAAAGAAAAAATAATTAAAGAAATCCTTTATACTTGCTCTAAAGATCTTATAATAGTCAAATATGGAGCAAAGAAAGTAGAAAAAATAAATAAAGAGCATCGAAGGCTGTGGCATAAAAAAGACTACAATATCCATATCTATACATACTAGGATTTCTTATACATTAAGCTTTCAAATGTACAAACAACCACCATTGATTTCTACAATCATATGAGCCTATCTTTTAACTTTAAATATTAGGCCTCTACTTCCTTTGTTGACCTTAATATATTCTATTGAAGATAATATGTAAAAGAAAGATTTACAAAAAAAGATGAAGGCACCTTAATTAGAATTTCAAATCCAAATTTTCCATTAAATGAAGTTAATAATGAAAAAATTAACTAAATTAGCTAGAAATTTCAAGTCCAACCTTCTTCTTCATTCTATTGAATTAGAAAGATATTGTCACGGATATACATATAATTACCTACAAGAGTCGATAAAAGTATGTAAAAGTAGATAAAAGTAGATTAATTGTGCAATATCTTCTAGAGAAGCTTCTTAGAAGCTTCATAGACGCTGCTTTGATCTTATAGGAGTCCATAGTTGACTTTTAGGTTAAAAACTTGGTCAACAAGTTAGCCATGTGCCACACATGTTGGTAGCTTGAAGGACAAGCTAACTACGTAGTCCACTCATAGAAAACTTGCCTTGCAAGCAAAGACATGTGGCCTAGAAAGTCAACACATATTAGAGGTCTTATAGAATATCGCCACGTGGCTTCTAGTTAGATAGTATATATAGAGGCAAGAGTGAAGCTCTCTTCACTCTTGTCAACTCCTTTCTTGCTTCTAGTCTAGTTTCAAGGGTCTCTAATTTTCTTGTCTTTTGGCAATAGCCATTCCAGTTTCTCTTTCAATATATATATATTTGTTTATTTACCTCTCTTTGAGTGAAGGCTCACTTGTCTGAATTGTTTTTCATCGAGTTCTTGTCCTTGACAGATTGACAAGAGTACACTTACAATATCAGAGCTTTGTTTTTCTTGAGTAAGAGTGGATTACCCTTTTCTCTTGACAAGACATAAGCATATTAGAAGTTTGCGGATTACCCACTTCTAAACTGATATTGTTCTTAATATCTTCTTTGTTATCAAGTCTTTCTTTTCTTTTGTCTTGAGCAGTATCAAACAAATTTTTCTTCTTAGTGTTATTATGGCAGAGCTTGTTGAAATGAAGAGTGCAAT